ATCCATCCACATACAAACTCCAACGGCCATTGTGGTCAAAAGCTGCTAGTTTATCATCTAGTGAAGAATCAAATGTAGAGAACTCGACAATGAAATCAGCTGGGATTTGCCCTTTGATAGAAGTATGGATCTTGTAGCTTTTCTCAAACTCCCTTGGCTCCAAAGCCCACTTGGCAACTCTCCTAGGCATTTCAACTTTGTGAAGCATGAGTTTTTGGGGGCCAATTGGTCAAGACCTCAATGGGATGGACCTAGAAATAGTGTCTGAGCTTTCTTGCAGAACCATCGGCAGGTACCTGGTTACAGCACCAAGCAGGGTTTTGCTGACATAATAAACCGGTTTCTGTATTCGATTGCATTCCCTTACCAGAGCTCCATTAATAGCCCACTCTGAAACACATAGGTAGAGATTTAAAACCTCACCTGCTATCAGAATAGATAGAGTGGGAGGGGACCTCAAATACTCCTTGATTCATTCATGTGCCCGATCACATTCTTTGTCCCAAGATCCCTTCACTGCCCCCTTGAGCATAGTGAAGAACGGTCTACACCTGTCTGAGAACCGCCAGCATCCTAGTTAATTTTTGTATGTCCTCTATGGTCTTCAGCCTCCGTATATCCTGCACGACCTATTCTTGATTAGGATTGGCCTATATACCAAGATGAGTGACTAGGTATCCCAAGAATTTTTTCAAGCTTACCCCGAACACACTTTAAAGCATTGAGCTTAAGACCGTACTTTCAGAGCACATCAAAGGTGACTCTGAGATCCCGAAGATGGTCAACTTCTACCTTACTCTTTACCAACATATCATCAATGTATACCTCCATTGTGATGTCAAGTTGTTGCTTAAACATCTTGTTCATCAGGTGTTAATAAATGACACCGCATTTTTCAAATCGAACGGCATCACCATGTAGCAATATATCCCTTGTGATGTGATGAATGCCTTTTTCTCTTGGTTTAACTCATGCAAAGGGATCTAATGATAGCCTACTCGGGCATCCATGAAAGAAATTCACTCATGCCCCGTGGTTGCATCAACAAACTGGTCAACCTTCAGCAAAGGGTATTCATCTTTGGGGCATGCCTCATTCAAGTCCGTAAAATCCACGCAAACTCGCCACTTTCTACCTTTCTTCTTTGCACAAACCATATTTGACAAACCACTAGGGGAACTAGACCTCTCTGATTGATCCAACCCTAACCAACCGATCCACCTCTTCGTCAATCACTTGTGTGTGGTGAGGCATCGACCTCTGAGCCTTTTACTTCACAGGTTTGAAAGTTGGATCTACATGAAGTTGATAACATACCACCTTGGGACTTATCCCTATCATCTCGGCTGGGTCCAACTGAAGATGTTAGTGTTCTAAGAAAGGCAATTTATCATATTAGATTTCTTAGTACCACCTAACAATTCCCCTATCAGGAAAAATCTTTCCTCATCCACGGGATTTAGAAAGACCTTGACTAGAGCCTCGGTGGACTGATTGGCTGGGTTAGTAATGGGATCTTCAACACCTGACTGACCGAACTGTGATTGCTATTTGGCTAACATTGCCTCAGGGTCATGCTCTTGGGACCTAACATTAACCCTGGTACTCATTGCTACATAAAAACTACTCTTTGATGACGCTTGATCGTCGCGAATTTCCATAACTCCCTTTGACGTGGAGAATTGTATCTTTTGATGATAGGACGAATGCACCGTGTTCTACCCATAATGGCATTGTATGGGGAGTCGGAGTCTATCACCATGAACTTGATCGAAACTGTGACAACTCCAGTAGTAACCATGAGTGTAACCTTCCTGAGAGGAAGGACATATGAATAGTTGAATCCTATGAGGGGGTTTTCACGGGCTTTAAATCTTTATGAGTGAAACCCATTTTACAGAAGAGGTTGTCGTACATTACCTCAAATGAACTCCCCGAGTCCACAAGGATCCTCTTGACATCGAATTTCTTGATCCGAAGGGTGATCACTAGGGCATCTAGATGTGGAAAGGTTAGCCTGCCCAGGTCGACGTCAAAAAATGAATGGTCTCGGCGACATGTCGAGGTCTTTTAGATTATTTCCCCCCGCACTTGCCTTCCTCCACTTTCACAGCTTGTGAAACCCTCTAGAGGTCAACTCGGAGTGAATTGTAAGTTGGTATATCCACTATGCAAGCATGTATTACTTCAATAACTGTAGTCACTTCTGGAGCTATGCCTGCTCCTTCCCCTATTGAGCCCCTTGGGGCAGCGCCATTAATGAATTCCTTGAAATGACCTTCTCGGACCAACTGCTCAAGGAATGATTTGTACACCCTACAATCCTCGGTTAGATGCCCAATGTCCCAATGGTAAGAATACTGAGACATTGAATCTCTGGAGGACAAATCACCTTACATCTTGGGTGGCCACTTGAAAAAAGGCTTTTTGAATACCGTGCTCACCCCCTGGAAAGACATGTGGCTTGGAGCCGGAGTTGGTGCTCCCCTCCTAACAGGTGGTTCCCTGTCTCATTTTTTTGATCTAGGAGCCCTAGGCTAGGGCTTCACCGACTCCTCCTCCACCCTCGCATACTTGTTTATCTGAGACATTAGGTCCTTCATGTCCGTCAGAGCTTGCTTGGTCAGAGATCGATATAGATTGGTGTCTCGGGAGAACCCTAGTCAAAATGTCGTTTTTGTCATGGACTTGGAACATGCCTTATCTTCATTCATCTCCTCCCAATATCTAATGCCATACTGCCGAAGGGTCTCTCCAGCCCTTCATTTGAGCATTAGTAGAGCACCAACATTTTTCAGCCTTTTGTCTTGGTGATAAATCGGGCAACAAATAACTCAGTCATCTACTTCTAGGACTTAATGCTTTCTGGGCCAATCCTTCGTACCATTTCATTTCAGTGTCTCCTAGACTCATAGGGAGCACTCGGCACAACAATCTTTGGTCGGTTCATAGATGGACTTTAGTTGTTTATACTGTCGTAGATGACCCTCAGGATCTGTTCTCCCATCATACACCTTGAAACGGGGGACGATGAACTTATTTGGCATCTTGATCTCCCTAATAGCCCGAACAAATGGCGAGACAATTTTCTCATCTTCGGTGCCATCCTCCCTTCGGAGGGGTCTTCGGCGATTGGCATCCAAGCATAATTGGAGATCCTCCCGGGGTCTCTAACATCTAGACCTCCTCGCGATAGAGTCTGTGTGGGATTCTGCAGCCTCTGCACCCCCTGAGAGTCTGTGACGAAGATCTCCACAGGTCAAATTCGATCTGTGCTTTCTACCCCCTTCAGATCTTTCCTTGGAGGCAAGCCCTTCATAATCCCAAGGCCTATGCTTCTCACCTAGGCATTCATGCAAGCTTATCCTCAGGGCATCCTACCTTGTGCCCTGAGAGTCACTCATGCAGATACTCTTATCTCCACACCAGTTGCACCACCAACTAGCATTTTCCAACCGCTCGAAATAATTGAGCCAAGTCCGCACATTCACGTTGTCTTTCTCAAGCTGCTTCAAACGGATCCCCATCCATTTTTTCCTTAACTCGAAGATCTCGCGAGCCAAAACGCCTTGTCCCCCATGGCTCTAGTCCATCAGTAATGCTTGCTACGAGGCAAGCTAAGCTCCATCTGACTAGTTTAAGGAGTCTGATTTGGTGAATGCTCAGACCTGGCTAGCTTCCATGTTTCTCAAGCACAAGATACCCCACAAATCACCCTAGGATCGTGTGTTCACCATAATACTATCGCTACAAGGAAAGCTGGTCCATTATTTCCCACAAACGACGCCAAACGGCATAGGTAAATTCCTGCAATGAGTTGAGAAAGCGATATGTGGAATGATCCTGAGTAGCGTTGAACCTAAAACAAAGGATTAGAAAAAAGGGGCTGGGTATGTACCTATCTAATCCCCTCTGAAGCTCAAGTCGATCGGCATAAGAGTCATAGAAAGTATTTTCTCGAGTCGAATTGCGTACCTTGGACCAACTTTTTGAGAGGTATTTATACCTGAGTTTGCAATGACGACAGGGTCTTTGAGTCCCATCTCATAATTTCATGGCCTTCACTCATATCCAAGCATAATGAGTGTTATCTCATCAAATCTCCTGAAGACTAATTTTGTCGGGCGAGTAGACCCTTGCTCGGCACCAACCGAGCCTTTATGGCCTAATCTTCGGTAATTAAATACCTCCATTTGACGCTTCACACTTACGTTCGAGCATTCACTACTCCGGAATAAACACCCTCAGGGTTAGCCAAGTACATCAAGTTGGCACCATGACACTTCACATTTCTCGAGAACACAAAAGTTCATTAATGACCCTGTCATAGTCACCCAAGACCCTATTAATGAGCTGTCATATCACTTTTAATGCTAGGACCTAAGGAGCACACTCGACCCTCCGGGTTATAACTCCTCGGCATCTTTTTCAGGCACCCTTTGCACTCCTTAACGGTTGCATTTGTCCACATGTCTTTTTAATGTTGTCAAGCCGCCTAAAGTCCCGTCAAAAAGTGTAGATTCCCAGAAAGTAGAAAAATAAGGTGTCGATGTCTAAATTAATAAAGTATAATCCACCATATACTTTATTCAATTTTTTTCAAACTGCTTCTGTTGTACATTTCACTCTGATGATGTCTGGATTGTTTAAATTTTATTTATTTCTTTTGTTTTTAGGGAAAAACTAAGATAAGAGAAAATTAAGCAAAGGTGAAGTAGCGAGAAAAGCAAAAAAGTGAGACCTACGAATCATACCATCCCTAAATTGTTGCAAAATTGTATTACTTCATGTACTTTAATATGCACATAACGTCATGTGATTTGGCACCAAAGTGTAACTGGTTAACAATTAAGTTTTGAAAGTATATAATACCATTTATCTTTTTAAAAATTTTCACATTTTTCTGCCTAAGTAATTTATACATCTTGAGAAATCTATTTGTGAGGCATAAAGTGTCAGTCGGCATACTAGAGATAGTGGCTCTTGCCACTTGGTATGAGGAGAAAGTGTCCTTTGCCAGCGGGCATTGGGAGGAGCTATCCCTTGTCAGTCGACATATGCAAAAGCTGGCTCTTACCAGTTGGCAGTAGCTCAGTTGACCACTGCCAATCAACAAGTGGCCTGGCCCCTACCAACTGGCAGGTGGCTTGGAAAGGTCCTCGCTTGTTCGTGCTTGGCACACAAGGTAATTATGGGAGATTCCTATTCAATAAAGGATCAATCTAGGACCTAGAGTCTTAATCTAATACCACTCTAAATATTTAGGAGTTGGCGATGAGGCATCAAGGAGTCAGATTTCAAATAAAATGTTACTCCAAGCAACCAAGTGCAAGTGATAAGGACCGAGGACCAAGAGTCATAATCTAACTCTATCCCGTACTTCTAGGACCTGGTGATAGGGTTAGGCCAATCAACCAAGAGTTTTGGTTCCTTCGGGACACATCTCCCTACAATTATAAATAAAGGCCCTTGGTACCTGGTAAAGAAAGTGAATCCTAACCTATTCACTCTATTCTTTTCTTTGACTCGTGATCTAACTTAAGCATTAGAGTCCCTTTGGCCACCTCTGACCATCAGTTCATGTAGGTGTTCTTTGGTCTTGCAGGTTTCACAGGGCTTCTTTACCACCCTCTTCATTCATATGAGGCTGTTATTCTTTGTGTGAAATTATTCTCACATAATTGGCGTTGTCTGTGGGAAACGACTAAATTTTTTTGGCAACCTAGAAACCCTGAACCATGTCTGGTAAGAGAACCAACAACCTTTTAACTATTCATTTGGCATTTACACTACCCCCAGTCCTTGAAAATCCCTTGAATTATGACCTCCAATTGCCTGACGGCATGCTCCTTTGAGATAAGGAGAAGGGCACAAAAGAGCAACACCCTACCCGTCACAACCTACTGACCCTTGGTAAAGGAAGCGGACCAATTACCGAGGTTGCCTATCAGGAATCAATAAGAAAGAAGACACAAGATCTAGAATCCCTCAAGCAAGGGATCCTTCTCCAAAAGGGAAATAAACTTGCTAGTTAGGTCATACGCCCGCCTTCTCAAAGTGACCACTACAACGATCACTCACTTGAGGCTTAATCCACCTGTAACAAGAGTAGGTCACTGGCAAGGAGCTATTCAACCCATGATCAATGTCAAGGAAAATATTCACTAAGACGCACTACTTCTCAACCCTTTCCTAGGGGACCGTTCACCCAGACGGCATCCTTCTCGTCATATAGAGAGGGAAGGCTATTTGTATAGGAAACGTCACCCTAGGGAGCATAGAAAAAGGCATAAGAGTTCAACCCATCACTCTAGATGAGACGAGTGGTACGACGATTATGGAAGACAGAAGCGTACCTGCTTCAAGCTAGCCCGTGAAGGTCATGACCATCTTCATATTGACATTAGCCAAGATGATCTCATATATTTGGTCAATGAAAGGGAAAGACAAAACTTACTTAAGATGGCCACTAAGCTTTTGTTTAGTCCATATGAGTAGTTGAGCCCCCACGTTAGTTATCTCCTCCTTCCTTCTAATTGTATGATGGCAAGTCTGATCTCGTTCTCGACATAGGGGCCTTTACTAATAAGATGACCCTTTGGACGAGTAACGAAGAGTTGATGTGTAAAATGTTCCCCTAAAACTTGGGGAGATCGGCTCTTAAGTGATTTCATGGGCTGCCTGTGAACTCGGTCTTCTCTTAGGAACATCTCGCAAGGGAATTCGTCTCTCGATTCATTGCCAATAGTCCAAAGCCAATGAAGATTGACATATTGATGGCTTTACACCAAAAACATAGAGAAACTTTCCATGAGTATGCCACGTGGTACTTGAAAACCTATACTAACATAGAAGAGTGCAACGAGAAGATCGTCGTTGTCTCTTTCTATTTGGACCTCCCCAAGGAAAATGAATTGAGGAAGTACCTCACCATGTGGCTGCGCCGAAGTATGTCACACTCATAGGAGCATATTAAGAGGTATATGAAGGTGGAAGACGACAAAGGATCAGTTAACCGGCTATCAAAGAAGAACCAGATTGAGGAAGACAACATTCCCAACCCATCAAGGAGAGACAGGTCATCCAAGGGAACGAGGGACTCCTACCAAAGAACGAACATTGTCGTCAAGGAGCCTATCTATCAACTCCTAAGCCAAATCAAAGACAAGTAGTATTTTAGGTGGCCATCAAAGATGATAGGGGATCCATAGGAGTATTTTAGGTGGCCATGAAAGATGATAGGAGATCTATCAAAGTAGGATCAAAACCTCCATTATTCTTATCACAAAGACAAAGGTCACTAGACGGAGAAGTGCTTGGCACTCAAGAGCCACCTAGAAGAGTTGGTCAAGCAAAGCTATCTCTCTTGGTACATTAACAAGGAAAAGAATACCAAGGAGTAGGAAGAGCAATAAATCCAATCAGATGACCAACCAGATAACTAATTTTTACTTTTAGCTTAGTCAACAACGTCTCATTATTTCAATAAGTCTTCAAATACATTTGTTTCTCATTCTCATTTATTAGTAAAGAGAAATTTATTTTTCACTACTCTAAGGGTTCCTCTATTTGTGATTATTGCAACCTATGTGGTTGTACCTCAAGCCGACCTCTGTGGTTACACCTCAAGCCAGTTCTTGGTTGCACCTCAAGCTAACCTCCAAAGTTACACTTACAACTGTAGTTGTACCTCAAACCAACCTCCGTGGTTACACTTCAAGCCAACCTCTATGGTTACACTTCAAGTCACCCTCCGTGGTTGCACCTCAAGCTAGCCTCAATAGTTACACCTCAAGCCTACCTCTATGGTTGCACTTCAAGCCGACCTCTATGGTTTCACCTCAAGTCAAACTTCATGGTTGCACCTATAGTTGACCTCTATGGTTTTACCTCAAACCAACCTCTAAGGCTGCACCTACAGCCAACCTCTATGGTTGCAATTCAAGCCAACTTTTGTGGTTGCACTTCAAGCCAACATATATGGTTGTACTTTAACGAAACCTACGTTGTTGCACCTCAAGTCTACTTGGCCTCCATGCGACCTCTAAGTTTTCCCTTCAAGGCTACTTAGCCTCCTTGCAACCTCCAAGGTTGCCCTTCAAGGTTATTTGGCCTTCATGCAACCTACATGGTTGCCCTTCAGGCTACTTTTCCTCCATGAAACCTCTATGGATGCCCTCTAAGTTACTCAGCCTTCGACAAACGACCAACAACTTCTACAATTGCTCAGTAGGCTACTTAGCCTTTCTTAAGGATTAGTCACCCCAAGCATCAAATCCCTCAACACATGGGGACCCTCCCTCTTCAATTAGAACAAGGGGCACATGTGTTAGAAGACTCAAAACACAACCACCAAGGAACTTCTTCAAGATTGCAGGAATCAGGAAGTCACTCTCAGGTCATAGAACATCCTCCCAAACTGAATATAATCCATCAATCCTGGCTGCCTAAGAGGTCCTCCCCAACCATCTCTGAAGGACTTGTTCTTCTCTCTTGCATATTTCTACTTGACTATGTCCAAAGATCCCGGAGTAATGATCATAGACAACATTCATCACTTGCTTAGCATTTTTCCTCTTAGCCTTAGCAAGTTCCTTTTAAAGCTCACTTTGGAATCTTTAAATTACTTCTCAAGCATGTTTGCCCCGACCATATCAGACTCAGCTTGACTCTTGATAAACTCTTATCACTCGACTAGCTCATAAGCAAAGTAAATCAGACCCCCATACTATTGGCACCAAGCAACAATTAATGTTTGTCCTTTCCTCTTAGCCAAACTCCAAAGCAATATGAGCAATGAAGAAAGGAGGAAGGAAATTTAAAGCCCTAGTCTTCTAGGCAAAATAAGCCCGTTACCAATGAGTTGGGCCAGAAAGATATCTAATCTTCAAACACATACCTCAATTAATAAACAATTGTTAATTGAGGTATGAGGGGAAATTGTTAGCATAAAGTGCCAGTCGGCATAGTGGAGATAGTGGCTTTTGCCACTTGGCATGAGGAGAAAGTGTCCCTCGCCAATCGGCATGTGGAGGATTTGTCCCTTGACAGTCAGCATGCACAGAAGCTGGCCGTTGCTAATTGGCAAATGGTTCAGTTGGCCACTACTAGTCAGCAAGTGGCCTAGCCACTGCCAACTAGCAGGTGGCTTGGGCAGGTCCTCACTCGTCCATAATTACTTAGAGTTAACGACATATTTAACGGCTTCATTACATGCATTTTAATTCAATTTTTCATTTAATTACTTAGAGTTACTCGAATTTATGAATAATGTTAAAATTTTAATGTTGCAGGTAATCATAGGGTAAATGATGGCTTTCGAAACCTTGTAACTAAGTGTGGATGAGTGGTGAAGAGATGGACACATTACATGAGGATTAGGAGGTTTTAAAGTGAAATAAATCAAGGAGGTAGTGGTACTTGGTATCATAGGTACCGGTATTTAAGCCTACTGGAATTTTGTTATTGGCACTTGCACTATTTGGTAGTAGTACCATGGTTTTCCCCATTGTTTACCATGATCCACTTCAAATTTGAAAAATTTCAAAACATAAAAGTTGTAGACCTGGATGTCCTCTATCTTGTATCAAAATTTTAGCTCAATCGGACATTGGGATCAAAAGTTATGACAAATTTATTAAATTTGGTCCTAAGCTAGCACCCCCCCCCCCTTTACAACCTACCAATAAAAGGAAACCAAAACCTATTGGTAGATTTTTTCATCGACCTACTATTAAGTTTTACCCAGAAATTCCAAAAAACTATAATCTCTTCTCCAACTGCTCTGTGGGCCCACCTCTGCTTCTCCCACACATACCCTGACACATCTACATACAAACATGTTTCCCCACACCTAAAATCTAAATTTGGAATAAAGAGCATGGAAGAGGAGGAGAGATAAAGAGGGGGCATGGTGGGGTTACAGGCATGGTTTGTCCTTACTTGTGTAAGTGTCCAACCCCTTTCCCATGCTTGGATGTCAGCTCACACAAACCCTAGGGGTGATGATGGACGAAAAAGAGATATTTTGACACCATTATTCAGCTACACAAGCTTTTAGTGAGAGAAGCTCCCAAGGAAGAAGATGAAGTTCTAGAAATAGAAAGTTAGGTTTTTGCATTTTCTTCTCCATTTCAATTGTAGTAAGCTTTAAATCACTTGTAATCTTTACTTCTTGCACTTTAATCTCCTTTATTTCTAGTGTATTCAAGTTTAACTACATCTTCTAGCATTTCAAGTTTTACATTTGGGTATTTGCCTTCAATATTTGTATTTTGACTATGAATGCCATTTCTCTTGTAGCTTCACTCTTTTCTTCCATTAATACAAGTTCCATGTTCCATTTCAATACCATGTCTCTTTACATTATGTTTGTTCTTGCTTTTACTATGAGTAGTTAAACTTTTAGTTGGCTAATTCAAGGGAGACTTCCTCTTGGGTATAATAAATCAACTATCCTCCATTCTTTCTCATAGTGTAAAGTGTTTGTTTGACTAGGTTGAGTGCGGATGTGGTTGTGAGCTCTTGATACACCATAGACTTGTCACAAAGTATGCTTGAGTCTATACCTCCACATTAGTCATTTACTTCCCATGAATCAATCAAACACCCAGGCACCATTGGTTGAATGAATTGATTTGAGTTGACATTCCCATTGGAATGACCTCTTCAGATTAGTCAACCTTGTTTTCACTACAATTTTTATCAAAAACTCCAATCACCAAAACACAAAATCACAAGATTTTACACTTTTCATTTCTTTACAAAATCACATTCACCACAATTTGGCCTTCCTTCCTTGAGGAGACAACCTTGGAATACTTAATTCCAAGTAAAACACGACATTGCAAGTCTCTCTACGATTGGGGAGCACTTTTGCACATACACACATTTTCATTCACACACACGTTTTCCCATTTCTAGCATCGAACCAGAGGGAGAATGACACTCACCTACTTGTATAAGCCATATACACACATTCGAGGGTTCCTGTTTGGAGATTAGGGTGAACGCAATCAAGTAGCTTGGCACCGAAGGCAACTATGGGTCAATCCTATTCAGTGAGGGATCAACCTAGGACCTAAAGTCC